CATCGATCTTTTGATCTATGATGCATGTTTTTTCAGTCCATGAGGGTTACTTAATCCCAAAAGAATAAATCAAGTTCACATTTCACAGCATTTTGGTATGCATTCCAGCTAGATGATGGGGTCAGTTCATACTGCTGGACAACAAAAGCAGACACTTTCTCAAATTACCAATGTCATAACCAAACGATTTTTAAGAATAGTAGATAAGGTTAACACATTAGGAACGCAGAAATATTTACAGGAAGAATACTCATCGATTCCACACATCCCTTGTTATTTCTTAGTATACATGTGTATATTGTAGGTGCACAATGCTAAAATATTTATGGCACGTTATGACTGAGAGGAACCTTTATGCCGCATTGCCATGTCGCTCATCATGAAAAGATCCAAAAGCAGTTTAATACAGAGAATTTTTAGCTGCTATTTGCTATGGTCATGAAAGAAAATTTGAAACATCACTTAAGTTCAAAGCTAATATTGGCATTCATCGATTAAATCGCTTTACGTTTTGTTAACTTCCAAGCTTTTGCTAACTAGACCCGTTCTATGTCATTGCTACTCAATTGTCCTTGATGCAATGTAACTATTGTCACTAGAATGAGATGCGGTTATAACCATGCTAAATGTCACCTATCAGCGACCGTAAAATGTCCACTAATTTGCGGAGTTTCAACCGTCTGACATACATGGAGATTCAAATAGTTTGTACGTTTTACCTATTTGCTTCAAACATTTTGTACAGTTACTATTTCGAATCTATAAAAGCTAACTAGGTAATTTCAGGTGCAGTTACTGCGAGTTGTTTTCCAACACGTGGTTACTTCCTTGTCGTAGGCAGTCAATTCCTCATCACCTGTTATTAACATCAGGTTACCGATAACTGAATGATTTGAGACTTAACATATTTTGCATTAAGAAAGTAATTCGCGGGGTACCAACTTGCTTGGTAGATAAATTTAAGTGTTGCTCATTCGCAACACAACATTTCACGTACTGGGTTATCATTTTTAAACTACTGCAGATGTGATTGCAGCAATCGTACTGACTAAAATTCATATTAACAGAAACCAAGTTCTTAACTGAGTTTCCGCGTTGAAATAATTTCACCAAACGAGTGCTTCGAAAAATAAGCACTCCAAAATCTGTTTTGTTAGTTTGCATTCAAGCAAATGCTTAGGCATTTCAAGTATAGACGTTGGCCCTTTTTGAAATCTGTGGACTGAAATACCCACACATCCTTCCTAATTTCCTTGCTAATTTGGGATAATAAATGTAGTCAATTAATATCACTTCTACATCGTATTCCTTCTTAGTGGCAGTATGCTAGATTTGTCCTTCCCAAAATTACCAACTATTCTCAAATGACTCACGCACAACTACAGACAGTTAGAGGATATTCTGCCAATTATTCGCACAGCTTGTCAACTAATAAGAGCTACTTAAATGGCTTTCTTTCATATCATTAGAACCCAAGGGGCAGGCGGTAATCGTTTATTGCTAAAGTGGCTTACACTAGGTGTGTTCGTTTATATCTTGGAGGCGTCCGCTCATCTGCGTGATCTCCATGGAGTGTTCCCCAACTGGTGCTCGCCTCTGTGTTCACTCCTCGTTAACATGGAACTATAATCCTGTTGTCATCTTCAGCTATGGGGAAGTTGGCAGGGCTCGCTGTTGGTGTGTCATCTTGCACCACCACATTACTTATACCCAGGGCAGTATTATCTACCTGCAAGCCACCACAATATTCGTCCTATCACAGCTACACTGTTTTCCGGTCAAAAGAAGCGTATTTAAAAAGACATGCGAGTTTAAGGAATTGCGTCAACCATTCACGGTTCAAAATCCTTGAGAATACTGCTGCTGAGCTCGTAGTACTGTATATATCTCGCATACCTGTTTGAATGTGTTTAACATTGGTGCGTTCCAAATTAAGACCAGTTGGCCCTTGTAATGCCAAAACGCTCAGCTAGCAAAATGTTGTATAGCTTGGACGAAGTAAAGGTGTGGTTTCGACTAAGACAAAAACTGTCATATGCCGTTGGTACATGGTTCACTGCTTGGTACTTATCGGATCACAGCGTTTTCAGTAGTAATAGTGATTCAGTGTTGCATCTAAGATTCAAATCCACGTAAAGCTTTTACAGTCTTATGCAATATCGATAGTTGCCACTTATAGTGGTGACTTAATTTCAACTGACCATCAAAATTTTTAACCAACTTCTATGAAACTGCTGCACAGAATAGGATGGGAGTAGGTGCCAAAATGTTTTAGAATATCACCAGACCAATAGCGATTATCAGATAGCGTTGCGGCGTTAGCATTGTCCTACTCTTATTAACAAATGCATGGTACTCGTTCCAGAAAATTTAGGTTGCTTGTGGCAGGGTGTAAAACAAAGAGAGCTAGCTGCATCTTCGGTTTCTTGCCAACTGTGTTTCAACTGCTTGGTTCTTTCATGTATCCACTAATGATTGGCACATTCGTAAGGTCGCTTGTGAATTGCAATATCTAAGTCGGGCTAATACGGCAAGAGGATGATGTTTCTGTGCACAATATTGAACAGCGTATGGCATGTGGAACATTTGCAGAATGTTGAGTATTCCTTCTAGGTTAACAGCAGTAAGAAGTATCTGACTGCTCTGACTGCTTTTTGCATTCAGCGCGCCTTTTTTAAGCGTATTTCTATTATAAAGCTGTGTTGCAACAACACACTACCGTTGTCAAATTAGGCAATAACTGTCGCTAACGGATGACAACAGAGAAGCCACGAAATTGTGTGGTGCCTTATATGCGTGTAAATTTGCAACCCTTGACACGCTCAGGAGTACTAAGATTGTTTTCTTGGAATCTGTTCTCATCATTTTGTTTGCATTACCAGAACTTTCACGCATTTCCTCCACAGACGTTCTACACTACTATTTCAGAAAACTTGGTAAACGACCGGTTAATGTATTTATGAGGATACACAACGTTTCGCATTTGACACAAATGCTTCATCAGGCGAAGTGAATTATCTAAACATTGTCATTATATAGCGATCATGGCTAAACTACATACAAAGACGAATCAATTTGCAGTTCATCTATGAATGATAACAGCGGTCAAAGGTCAATATGTTCGCGGGTACACTGTAGTTTGTTTCAGTCAGGGTCAAGTGGGGGAAAGAAATTGCCGGTCCGTGGATAATTGCATTGTGGTTAACAATCTTAATTGAACCGTTGCAGGGAACTTGGACACCGATAGAATTTGGCTTTAGTACTTCGGAGTTTGGTGGAGGGTGGGCCGATAGCATTCCGACTTGGGATCCATCCGCCGATGCTTACAAAGCTGGCCGGAGTAAGACTGGACGCCAGGCACTGGACAGCCCTACTCCGTCTATTCTATTCACGCAGTTGTTAGCCTTGGTTATTTCTATAGCCTCAGCAATCAGCCTTTGTTTGGCTGATCGTAATCCCCTCCTGATTACCTCCACATTTTCGAAGTCAATTTTATGTCCCGTGTCTAGCGCATGCATTGCTATTGCTGAATCTCTGAGTAGAGCTCCATACTCTAGCTCATTTCGCGGAGGTCGTGATATGTGTCGCCTATGTTCTGAAATCCTTGTACGTAATTCCCTCGCTGTTTGGCCTATATACACTTGTGTACAATCTTTACATGGAATTTTGTAAATACAGTTAGTTGTTCTATCTAAAGAGAGTGTATCCTTCAGGTGCACAAGTGTGGACCGTAACGTTCGACCCTTCTGGAAAACTACCCTTATCTTCTCCTTATTCAGTACTCTCCGAATCGCTTCCGAGGTTCCTTTTTTATACGGAATACCCACTGTCGCTATCCACTCTGCGGTTGGAGTTGCGCGTGGGTTGAGACATTTCTGTAGCTGTCGTTTCACTAATCGTTTCGGATATCCGCTAGCTATTAAGTTTTTCATCGCTTCCCTCTGCGCTGCTTTCTTATCTTCTTCCTCCGTGCACAGAGCACTTGCTCTGTGAAATAGTGATGAGGCGATTCCCGCGATTCCCTCCACCAAACTCCGAAGTACTAAAGCCAAATTCTATCGGTGTCCAAGTTCCCTGCAACGGTTCAATTAAGATTGTTAACCACAATGCAATTATCCATGGACCGGCAATTTCTTTCCCCCACTTGACCCTGACTGAAACAAACTACAGTGTACCCGCGAACATATTGACATTTGACCGCTGTTATCATTCATAGATGAACTGCAAATTGATTCGTCTTTGTATGTAGTTTAGCCATGATCGCTATATAATGACAATGTTTAGATAATTCACTTCGCCTGATGAAGCATTTGTGTCAAATGCGAAACGTTGTGTATCCTCATAAATACATTAACCGGTCGTTTACCAAGTTTTCTGAAATGATGTCTTCCCGATCGGTTCCAAATATGTTCCAAGATATTCTACACTACTAATTTATTGTTCCAAGCCAGATGGAGCTATTTAATTTCATTCCACACTGGAAAATTGATTCTTTCAAGTTCTGGTAGCTGGCAAGGGATACGCTTGAACATTAAATCGGTGTAGTTTTAAGACCTTTTATGTTAGGGCACAAGTGCATGTAAGACCAAGGTTGGATTGCACTGTGAGCACTATCCCTCCTGCCACCATCTTTGAACTACAGTCCAATAATACTCGTATTGCTTTACCTAACTGGTGAGACCAGACAATAAATATTCATTATATATGATGCTTTCGTTAGAGAAGAACAGTGCATGATGCATCTATCAGTCATGTGAAGTGAGTAATTTGCCAGTGTTTAGTTAATTGTGTCATGCAAGTACCATAGGTACTATTATTCCTGCGTAAGGCAAACTTCATGAATGTGTATGGAGAATTCGAAGTTGTGCATAACGTTTTTGAGACGTAAATAAGCCAACAAGTAAGGTGGTTGAGTAGTGTTGAGAGAACAACTAAAAGAAGCGGAATCTATTTTCGGGAGTATATTAAGATCTATATTCCCCATCTTTCGAAAGACTCACCTAATTGTTCAGAATACATATCCAGCTCTGATGTTGAGCCAGTAATTATTCCCCAAATCCAATCCCGATGCGCTGTGACTGAAGTGTAAACATCCGGGATGTGTCCGCAGCTGTCTCTTGCTCCGAAGCTTGTCACTCCGGCAACGAACCAAGCTCTCGAATATGGGGACCTGCAATATAGGCCACCACCACTGTCACCGAAACAGGCACCCTACGAAAAACAATGTTGGAAACAATGTATACTCCCATCATATGGTAATATTCTTATTCGATTATTCGTCGACAGGCCAGTACAAATAATATTAGGTTAAAATACGAAGGTAAATGCAGGGTGTAGCTCAATGGTTAGACAGCAGATCGTTAGTCGCTGTCTTGTACACACACATGCACACAGATCGATAGGTGTTATTTTGTCAAACTGACGACGCCGATGTCAGAATGACGGTTATGTTTACTTCTGTTCGGCCAGGGTAGACGTAGCGCTTGAACAAACTTCTTTTGTGAGCTTAATGGAGGCTGGCGTATACAGATCGCAATGGCTTCTGCTGTGGCGAGTATTCTTAGATGCAGACATTCTGACTGGTTCAAGGGTACCAGGTAAACCACAGTAAATTCGCTCAGAAGTTTAACGCTGTGCCTTTATTCGAATAGGTGGGAGAGAATTCAGCTTGCCAAAACGCCAGTGCCTCCGTTTACCAACCATTTAAGTCTATGTGCGTTAATGAGATATGACAACTGGCGAGCTGTTCGACCTATGTATTTTGCACCACAGGTGTACTTAAGTCTATAGATAATTTAAGAGGACGTCAGCATCGACGGAATAAGCGGTTTGGTGGCAAATATACACCGCAATTCCGCAGCTGGAAAAGTGTTCCTTACTGACTGCGTCAGTTTTCCTGTTATAAGCTCCGCAACTTAGATGATCCGCTTCGATCCTGGCTAAATGTTTACAAACGGATAACATTGGGATGGTGTGCTTTGAATGAATGACATCAGGACACAAAGCAGAAAAGCCGGTAACTGTAAATAATTCTACCCTTCTATTAACGGTTTTGAATATGTAAATGATCCGTTAATGCTGCAATTGCATGAAAATATCGCTTTTATTGTTCACAGCTGGCAGCAAAAGGACTATGGAAACTTTTGGTAAATGTCGCTTGCAAATAGGAACATATAATACAAAATCCGTTAAGCAAAACTTTAATGTAGTATTTTTGTCCTCATCCCCATTTTGCTAATAGGATTTCAGCTACGCGCAAAGATTGTGCAGCACTCAGTTCCATTAACATCCAAACTGCCTTCTGTTTCTTGGTTGTGAATATCTTCTAACATAGTGAAGTCGATTAGGGTCAAAATAAGCTTCATCCACTTACACGAGCGCATTTTCACCAATTCGCACCAACGCTGCCGAATATTATAATAATAAGAAAGTACATATTTGCAGAGGTGAAACCAAAATTATGTATATTCGATCAAGCACAATTTCACGGACAGTGTTCCATTCATGATGGGTCAAACAAAAAACGTAATGGATAAGGCCAGATGGAGTTGCGATACGAGGAGGTGGGAGAATCACAAATATTTAAATTTTGATAGTGTTCAAAAATTAATATGGCATAGGCTGGTATATCAGACAAGAATTGACAGGTGTCGTCTGGAAAACTGGAAGAAATAGTAGATGTATGTATCGGAATGTTTGGAAAAAATCAACTCTGTAAGCCCTGCTTTCTTTAGGCGACAAAAGAGATAATTACGTTTTAGCCAATGGACAAAAAGAACATGAAGATCTTGACGAAGTCCGGGAAAAATGTTTGAGGGAGTGTGAGCGAGATTACATGCATTTTCAAACTCTAGAATTAAAGCATGGGGTTTGAGAATCCTTTTGGACGCGCAGAAAGTGTTCTAACTGTTTGGAGCTTTCAAGCGTATGTGTAGACCAAGGTGGATAGTGAACTAGGAAATTTTCTAGAAATTTTGCGATAGGGAAACGAAGTACGCTTTGATCATTCGCCATTGTGGGGTGGGAGATATGTACAATAAACATGGTTTGTTGGAAGTTAGGAAATAGCATGTTACGTAACAGCGATTGGAATGGGTGTTAGAGGGGGACCGAGCGCTGAACCAGGTAATCAATTCATCTAACCCTCGTTACAGATTTTCAAAATGCCACCGATGATTTGGGTTTTGTAACCTCGATCAAAGTTATCAGTAGATGTGCAGCGTATGAATTTTAACGCAACAGGAAGACTTCCGACGTGATATAGTGACTTCGTGCAGAACCCTACAGTTGGCCTAGAGCACGGAAGATGTGCTGTTGCATCACAACAGGAATTGTGTGCGATTAACGAACTACACTCGCGACACACCAAAAGCATACAGAAAACTGTATTTTTCAGAATATCCTTGTGTAAATAACCTCTGAGTTCCTATATACAACTGGCAGTTGCTAAAATCACTCAGTTTGTATCATCAGATGTATTCCTCTTGTCATTATTCTGACTACTCGGAATGTAGAGCACATCGTCAACCGAAAATTCACAGTTAGGTCTTGCACCCCTAATTCATCAGCACTTCCGTATTTTCGAAATGTATGTTGCAACTAAAACCAGTCAAACCGCATCTACACGACGGAAAAGCAATCATTCGCCTTGCTTAGTTCTAATCCTACATATATTTCTTACTCAGCAGTAAAACACTTGTTTAACAGAGCCGTTACATGGGATCTAAAATCGCATAACTATTCCAAAGAAAATGGATCAGTTTAAAAAGTTCGTGTAAATATTTCCGCAATTGCCATTGGCTAACTTTACAATCTAGCACTTAGCTCACCTTTCCTTTTGAACCTGCGCAAAGTGTTCGCTCTTCGTCAAGATTGGCGTAGTACTTGCTGCATTCCGTAGTATTCAAAACTGTCACTCCAACCTGGCGTAATACGTCCGGTGTCTGTGGTTGGGTCATGACACCCGTCATTTGATCTATGAAACCTGCTTCACTTTGGCCCCATCCAACAACGTAACAATCCGTACCAGGATCCGGGACAGTGAAGTCGACTGGCATGCAAGCAACCTTCACTTTAGGATCTGTAAAATAAATCGTTTATTGTGATTCTGATGAATGCCTCTCGATTCCTATTAGGGTACTTATATTAATTTAGACAAATGTACAGCACAGCATTAGAGGACTGATATGTTTGTGTGAACGCTCCTTTTCATCACTTCGTAAGGGGATACGTAACTATCGGCAATGCATCCATACGACAAGGTTTCAGGTATCGGCAAATGGAACTTCACCGTGATGATTATAAATCGAGGGATATCATTTCGCTTAAATAAAACAAGTCAAAGATAAGTTCGCGAAGCGTCTCCCCAAATGACAGACACCCAAAATAACATTTAGTAAAACTCACTAAAATTCGGTTTATTTGTGCGCCGCAAGTTGAACAACTCTGTGACTAAATTTACTTTTCCTGGGCCAATGGTTTTTGTTTTGAGAGAAATGGATAGTATTCCATAGCAAATAGAATACGGTTGTTAGTAAGCAAATTATTTAGCCTGAAGCAGCTCAAAATAACATGCGGAACAAACTAATCTGCAATACGTAAAAGATACACTTTTCTACATGGAACCTTACCCTAAATTCATTATTACAAATAAACGTATCTAAGCCGTGAAAATATAGAGCCATTTTGATAAATTCATATGTTAACATGAAAACAAAGCACACGTTATATAAGCACAAAAGAAAGCACAACACTTCATCATGCGAAGCATTATTATTTAGGTTTAACTTCTAGCATAGCCCCAAGAACACGTGAGACGCTCGTCAGCGTCAGATGTAAGGAAGGTTCGCAGCCGACACAATTTCACTTGTCGGAGAAAGAGCTGGATGGAAGTAGTTGTCACCGGTTTTTTAACCATATCCTTGAGATATTGCAACCGTGGATGGCGAACACCTACACCTTTGATTATTCTGAAATATTGTATTTCGTTGTATCTCACTCGCTGTGGTTTCATTGTGCCAAAGTGGTTACCCTGGTTAATCATTGCATTGCATGCACACAAGTTGATGAATTGCTTTTCCAAACATGCACTGAACACAGATTTACTACGGTTCTGCTGATATTGCGACGATGCTGCTGTGTCATTAAGTGACGTTTCCTTCCATACCTTTCTTTAGGCATGCCAGAAGGCGTACATTGGTGTGCTTCAGTTACCGTTGACAATATATAAATATCCAGACTGAATGCGTAAATCACATCTCTCCTCCTAATAATTTGGACGCAGTGTACTCAGTTTTACCATACTAAAGGACGCCTTCAAATCTCAACTCAGAGATCATGAGTGGCCACACCAAATAATCATTTTTCCCTTCTAGGCTCGTTGACCAAAAGTCACCGGTGAACCGCAGTGGGATACGGCAGCTCTGCCAACTTCCGCAGTGATTCTGAGCACCGCGGGGCAGCCCTAGGTGCAACCTGAAATTACCTTGCTCTGCACATCTTTCACGAACAGGCCACTGCTCATTTCGACCCGTAAATCCGTTCTGAGCACGATGTTGCACTTTCACAAAGCTTAATTCAAACGTTTTTGGAGGTCGGTGGGAAACATTTTCCCTTAAGTGAATAGTGAGTCTAAAAAAATGATTCCAAGACTTCTTGCATTTTGCCTATTGTCCTTGAAAACCACGTCCACCTTGAGCGCCTTCTCTTCCGACTTTAACCCCTTAAACCTAAGCGGATTCACATGCTCACTGACCTCATTTAAGAAGAACGGGACAGTTTTGGAACTGCAACCACTAAATTTAAGTGACGAACGTAACAAGTTAAAAGAAAAGTGTAGATGGTATATTTTTGTGTAGTGCACAAGCGCCAGCCGAAAAACAAACCGTGGCTACTAGCGACGCGCTGTCTAAGCTAGTTGCCGAGCACACTGTGAAGCTTCAAAACGTTCGTAGGCTCGCCTGTAAAAGATAAGGAAATACTCTAGATAGAGCAACATTGCCCAGACAGATTTGGTCTGACTGAAACATGGCATCCCATTGATGTTACTGAACTCGAACTTCACAACGTTGAGTACGCGGCATTTCAGTGTGAAGGAAATCAAGGGCGCTCAAGTCGACGTAATTTTGTACATAAATTCCAACCTGTGAGGTGGACTCATGTCCACGCATCATAGTGCTGGTGGTCTATGCGCACAACTTTAGTACAATGTA